TATTTTTAGTAGAGACAGGGTTTCACCATGTTGACCAGGATGGTCTCAATCTCTTGACCTCGTGATCCACCCGCCTCGGCCTCCCAAAGTGCTGGGATTACAGGCTTGAGCCACTGCACCCGGCCTCACAATCTCTTTTTGTTTAGCATATTCATTCAGAAATATTTATTTCTGCTATACTACAGGATGGCACACAGTGACAATCTAATAACAAACATTGTGTGGTTTCCAGATCATCAGAAAGTTTCCATTGAGTTTCTTGTTTTGTTTTGTTTTAGCACTTTTATTTCATAGTCGTTGGACGGCTGGGCACAAAAACTTTGTCTCTGAAAATGGCCTCCTGACAGGATTATGGGGGGCTCTTGCTTTCTATGTTAAATATTTATGTAATGTTTATTTTTTAGCTTTTATAATGAGAAAAAATCTGAAGGGCAAAATAATACTCCTCTTTTATGATAAAAAATCATAGACTTAAGTTAATAAACTAAGCAAATTCCAAAGAAGGTGGAAAATAAATCATTCAAAACAGAAATGATTCCACTGCCATTTTGTCTGAAAAAGCAATTTCAATAGAGTATCACTGAATCCTCACATTTTAGACCTGGACAGGATATTAGGAATCACCTAGACCAGTAGCTTACATCTTGTCTAGGTCACAGACTGCTTTGAAAACATGAAGAAAGCAGTGAACTTTCCTTCCCAGATAAAGGGGCTTATGAACATAAATAATTTTTAATATAGTTTCAGGGATTTGTGTCCATCAAGCTTGTCCATGACACAGGATAAAAAACCAAGATTCAGCCCACCTTCCTCGTTTCACAGATAAGGAAAGGCTAAGAGACGTGCTCACTCTGTCGGACCGTGGCAGCAGCAGAAAGAGAAACCAGGTCAAGTCACTGCCAAGTCCTTGCTCTATCCACTGGCCTGGCAGCTGCTGACATGGTACTCTGGATTTGCAGCATGCAAATTAAACTCCTATTCCCACATTTTAGAAGACAATTTCAAATTCAGTTTTTCCTGCCTCCTGCTCCACACCCCCACTGCCACAACACAACCAAATTCTAAATAAGATGATCTGGAGAGGATGAGTGGGGAGTCTGAGACTAGAGTAAGACCCGGAAGGATGTTAAGAGAAAACTGAGAGACTGGAAGAGGGGCAGATATGTAAAAGCAAAGGGGCAAGAAACATAATAAGAGATAGGGTTTTAAGTAAAGAGGGACTAAAACATAGAGGACCTTGATGACCTTCATAAGGAATTTGAGTTCAATTCTGCCTGAAATGATGAAATATTTGGTAAGTTTTGTAACTGGGGGAGACAAATTCATTCTTGCCACTCTCTTGCTCTCTATTTTTTAGTAAGTAATAGAGATGAGGTCTCACTATGTTCGCCAGGCCAGTCTTGAACTTCTGAACTCAAGTGATCCTCCTGCCTCAGCCTCCCAAAGTGCTGGATTATAGGCATCAGCCACCACACACAGTTGCTAGTCTCTTCTGTCTTCAGACATGATCATAACCAAGGCCTTAAAGCATGACTTTTCTACCTGGAATGTTCTTAATCTTCCTTCCTTAGAAAACACCTGCTATTAATCCTTCAAAATCCTGTTCAAATGCCACTTCCTGTGAAGATTTGCCCCTACCCCCACATACTATCCTACTCCTACATATATGTCCAGGCCTATAGGCCCATTTAGCTCTGTTTATATATCTCTGTAGCAGGATTCATCTCTTAGCAAATATTTTGTAATTCGTCTGCCATCACATTTGTCTCCTCCAAAAGTGTATGGACCTCTTGTAAGGAGAGATTATATCTTATCTCCAATCCTACTCACACTGCAGCACATGGAAGGCACCTGAGTGCACAATAGCTGGTAGCTAGCTATGTGCACAGTGGAACAAAACAGAAGGGTTGGCAGGGAGATCCAATGTATTGCAATAGCTCAGGAGAAAGTTGACAAGGGTAATTTGGAAAAGAGATGACAGTTGGAACAGACAATTCATAATTTGGCACGTGCTGGGAAAGTCCAATAGGAAGGAAGCCAGATCCTTTACCTCTAGCTGGGGAGGCTTGGATAATGGGTGCATCATTAGCCACAACAGGAAATAAAAGCAGAACACCAGGTGTGAAACAAGTGGAAGAGGAAGGAAAGAAGAAGAAAAAAAAAGAAAGAGTTTCATATTACATTTGTTGGGTTGGAGGCACATGAGTACAAGGTTCAGAGGAACACCTAAGAAGCAATGTCTAGCCAACAGAAGGAAGAAAAGGGGTGTAGGCCCCAGAAAATTGGTCAAGACTGGAAATAATTATATAGGAGTTCTTTGTATAAAGAAAAAAACAGAAGCAAAGAAAATCACACTGTTCTGTAAAAGTTTACAAAGAAAAAAGGCTTAAAAGTATAACTTGAAGGTACATTTAAAGGGTTATTAATCAGTTTCTAAGAATGCATCTCCTGGTAACTCACCTTGAGGTCTGATCATACATGTACTCCTCAGCCCCAACTGAAGCACTCCGAAATTTCTGCAAAATATGAGTCATTGAAGTTAAAACAAATAGGTAAGTCATTATGCAAAAATGATAATAATCAATGTATCCCAACTATTTTATTCTCTTGCTAAGAGAGTTAGTTATGTATTTGATATGTTTTCAACTACAGCAAAAGTAGTCACAGAACTCACCCATCACCTGCTCACTGAGAGGTACACTCAACAGAAAATGCATTTGTGCTCTGTGTGTTACTCACATGTCCACAGGTGTTTCTACAGTGTTGGAGGTACTGGAAACTGTTTCCTCAAGTACATAATACATCTCTTTCATTTCCTATTGTCTCCAACACTTATTCCAAATGTCATAAATTCTGAATTAACAGAACACTAATTACACAGAGGTCATATAGCACATAAAAAGCAATACAGGAGAGTGGTTAAGAACATAGTTTCTGGAACAAGATTGTCTAGGGTCAAGCTCCAGCTCTTCTACCTGCTACCTGTGTAAAATGAGGCAAATGCTACATTTTCTTCATCTATAAAATTTCTATTCGTAATAATTAGAAGAATTAAATAAGTTTTTAAAAAGTACTAAGAATAGGCTGGGCATAGTGGCTCATGCCTGTAATCTAGCACTTTGGGAGGCCAAGGCAGGAGGATTGTTTGAAGCCAGGAGTTTCAGACCAGCCTGGACAATAAAGCAAGATCTGTCTTAACAAAAATTAAAATAAAATTAACTGTGTGTGGTGGCTCATTCCTGTGGACCCAGCAACCCAGAAAGTTGAGGTGGGAGCATTGCTTGAAGCCCGAGAGTTCAAGGCTGCAGTGAGCTATGATTGCATCACTTCACTCCAGCCTGGGAGGCAGGTGCTGGAGTGCCTATTAAGACCCTATTTCCTTTTTAGTTTTTGAGACTGAGTCTCGCTCTATCGCCCAGGCTGGAGTGTAGTGGCGCAATCTCAGCTCACTGCAAACCTCCGCCTTCTAGGTTCAAGTGATTTTCCTGCCTCAACCTCCTGAGTAGCTGGGATTACAGGTACCAGCTACCGTGCCCGGCTAATGTTTTGTATTTTTAGTAGACAGGGTTTCACCATGTTGGCCAGGCTGGCCTTGAACTCCTGACCTCATGATCCGCCCATCTTGGCCTCCCAAAGTGCTGGGATTACAGGCATAAGCCACCATGCCCAGCCTAAGACCCTATTTTCTTAAAAAAAAATAAAGTTACTAAGAATAGAGCCTGGTACATAGTGAGCACTAGATACATGTATAAATACTATTATAAAGTAATAGTTTGACCCTATTCTGTGCCCTTCTCTAAGGATTTTCATTATCACAATATTGTAAGAGTACATTTTCCGGGGAAACTAAGTTTAGTATTTCACACAAAGCAGCTTGGGTCTCAAGATGTTCAATTATATGTACAGTGCATATACGCTGTGCTTTGCTACATTTTAGAAACTTTTCAAAAGTAGATGACCAAAAGCCCCAGTTCTTGATCTGAAGTAAATATAGAATACTGCTGACCACAGATCTAGTTCTTTCACTATGATCATTTTTCAAATGTCTCTTCCTATGTAATAACCTTCCTGCCTCTCATTTCTGTGCAATAAATTTGTATTCTTTGACCAGCATTTCAAGGGTTTCCTTCCATAGGAAAAATGTTATCACAGCTATTTTCCAAACTTCCTCACAACCCCTAACCATCATCTCTGGAATTCAGCATACCTTATATCACAGTTTTCATACATATTTATGATCCTTCTTTTTATCCAATCTTATTCCTTGAATTCAAGGAGATGGTCTTCCCTTCAAACTTTAAAATGAATCCCATGAACATTGCCCAAATACTTTTTGGCTGATTAAATAATCATGACAGAGGTACAGAGTTGTATTTCTTTTGCAATAAATCAGGTAATCAGTAAAGCATTCAATGGGAACTATCTGCTTTGGTGTCAGAAGAAATACAGAATTATATGTGACACTGCCCTGGCCTCAGAGAGATAAAAATTGGTTGAGGGAATGGAATAAATTTACATTAAAAAAAAAAAAAGGCAAATTACTATATATGAAAGTCTATGTTCGTTCGTTCATTCATTCATTCATTCATTCGTTCATTCATATGATCTGACTAGAAAAGCACAGAGTGGGCATTGCCAGGAAAGGAAGATCAGCAAAATTCACAGAGCTGCTGAGCTTTGCTCTGACTCTTGGAAGCCAAAGAGAGCCTGGATTAACTAAAGGAACTGAGAGAAACTAACCTAAGCAAGAGAGGGCCACCATGAGTCAAGACAAAAATGATGAGTACAAATGTGGTGCATACATGAGGCCAAGGACACTGGCCTTGCCTGGTTATTTAGGAGGGATTTGAAATTTTAGGTCTTGCTCCCCAATACAGTAGCCCCTAGCTCCATGTGCTATTTAAATTTAAGTTGATTAGACTGAAATAAATTTAAACATTCGGTTCCTCAGTCAACTAGCCACATTTCAAGTACTACATTAACACATTGGCTAGTGACTAATACTGGACAGTACAAAAGAAATTTTCATCACTGCAGAAAGTTCTACCGGACAAGGCTGATTTAGAAAAATGTATTTACATTTAATATGGTCAGGAATTAGAAAATTTTGGAGTAGGAGGGTAATATGAAAAAAGCATTTAGAGAAGTGACTTGGAGACACAGATGTATTATTCAGTCTTTGCTCTAAGGAATATGCAGTAATCCATAAAAACCATAGTGAATCAGCCTTAGTAAACATGGAAAGAATGAATTACTGTCCATGCCATAGATTTCTGCAGCCTGAGGATAGGCTAGCCTCCTAAAGCATATTGGACTTGTAAATTCTATGGTTCTAATCCCCATATGGGATTAGATGGCATGAGAAGGTATGATACTAGAAATCTTCAGACTCAGACAGACTCAACTACATGCTGGCTGAAATACAGAATACCACTTCAATGCGTGAATGCATGAGGACAAGGACTGTGAGAAAGTAAATGTTTGTCATAGTTCCATGTTATAGTAGTGGTGACTACTGTAGTTACCATGTTACAGACATAGATATTACTTCTTGTCAAGCTTAATATTTTTTCTTTAATTCCGTTACATTGTCTTTATAATTTTAAAAGAATTAAATGGATAGTGTACCTAGAAAACATCACTATCCTTTAGATGAAACCTGATTACATTATTGGTTACATGGCTCTAAATGAATTAGCATTAGGAATTAGAACCAGAATGCCCAGGTCATTCTGGTTATAGTTATCAAGTTTCCACAGTTGCTTGGAGATCTGTGTAATCTGTTGGATTCCAAAAGGCAGTCAGACAGCCAACATCACTGTATTTTACTGTGACTTGATGTAGTGCATCTATAAATTTGAACTCAGAAAAATGATAGTAAAGAAGGTATGATAACATATATTTGATAAATTACTCTTAAAGGATCTTAGACATTAGGCAATAGTAAACACATTTAAATCTCAAATATTGGCATTCTGTTTTTTTCCTTAGGTTGGAGAGAGGAGATATCTGCAAATAATCTGTTTCAAAAAGACAATTATTCTTTAACTGTAAGGAAATCATAAATTGTTAAACGGCTTCTTGTCTTCAATTAGCCACTAATTTTTTAGATCCCATCATTCATTCATTCACTCTTTCAGTAAATATTTACTAAGCATTTACTTTATTTCAGGCACTGTGCTCAGTGCTACGGACATAATGGTGAACAAAAGGAGAATAGGTCCCTGCTCTCATGAAGCTTCTGGTCAAGTAGGAAAAAACACTAATCAAACAAATATTTATTTTTAAAAATTACAAACTGTATGCAGGCACTCTGAGAAAGAGCAATAGCTCTATATGAGCTCATCACATTCACGGCTATGAGAAAGTGAAAACTGGCACCACTGACAGTCAATCTAAATGTTCTAACAGAGGGCAATGTTTCCAGAGAAATACGGATAAGGCCAACAGGAGGTAAGCAGTGCTTCCAACAGAGCCCCAGAGGACAATAACACAATGACAAGGTGAATAACGTCCCCTCCTTCTGAACAATCATCATGAGATGTCGTTTCTGGGTGTCCCTACATCTTGACAGTATCCAATCCAGAGCTGGTTGTCACTTCTGTAACCCCTCCGTGGACTCATCCAGCATATGACCAAACATTATGAAGAGCTCCCAACTCTGCCCAAGAGGCTCGTAAGGGTTCCCTGTTGAGATAGGCTAAATAAATGTAACTTTGACTATGGATGTGTTCATGGTGGTCTTCGGCTGGTGGATTTAGATACATAGAAAACTGATTCTAGCCGGGCGCGGTGGCTCAAGCCTGTAATCCCAGCACTTTGGGACGCCGAGGCGGGTGGATCACGAGGTCAAGAGATCGAGACCATCCTGGTCAACATGGTGAAACCCTGTCTCTACTAAAAATACAAAACATTAGCTGGGCATGGTGGCGCGTGCCTGTA